TGTTCATGTGTACACACGTGTCTGCCAGGGGCGACCTGCGACTGTTCGTGTGTACACACGTGTCTGCCAGGGGCGACCTGCCAACTGTACGTGTGTACGCAACGTTAAGGCCATGTGCTGTTGAGAAGAACGGAACCGCTCCACGATGCACGGACACGCCACAAGAGCTAAGGTGCCGTCCACCAAAGACAAAAGGCACAGAATGGATGGCCTGGATTAAAGGGGCTGCAGAAGAAATCTGTATGCGCCCAGAATGCCCAGGAAGGACACAGAAGCTGCTTCCAGCAAAACAGGAAATCATGCTCCATGCCATCCCCTACTCTCATCTCTTACTGTGCGCGTGTACAACTCAGCCCAGAACACTTTAATGTACCATTTAACACAGGCACTTTCTGCTTTTCAAAAAAAAAAACAAAAGCAAAAACAAAAAAGCAATGGGTGAGACAAGGAAGACCTACACTCTGCAGGAGAAGGGACAAGGCTGCACGGGCTTTCTAGAACATAATGTGGCATTCTATAAAGAACCTGAAAAAGTAGTATTAATTCAGTAAACCCAACTGCAGGAATCTATCCTAATGAAATAATTAAAGATACATATAATGATGCATTAGGAGTAATATTTAAAAAGTATAAATAAATGTTAAATAACAAAAGAAATGATTGCATATCATCATGCTATGTCCAGATGCAGGAGACTAATAAAGTAATTTAAAATACTGACATGGGGAAACATTCATAATACAGTAAGTGAAAATGGAGAAAGATATATTTACAACATATTAAGGAAAAAGGGCAGGTTAAAAAAAAGTAGCATAAATACTTTTGAATTAAAAAACTATTCTTAAATAAACTATTATGGAAAAGTATGTATAGCAAAAAAAAAAAAGTCTGAAAGACTATGCATGCATTCTCTCCAAATGTCGTGATTCTTGGTTCTTCTAATAATGTTACTCTTGTTAATCTTTAGTTTCTAATTTTTTTCCAAAATAAACACACATTATTTATATAATAACTTTTAAAAAGATAAAAATAAATTAGTTTATATTAAAAAGTAAAGACATATATAAAAAGAAGAGACAAACGTATATAGAAAGTATGAACTCAATTTTTATATATGCAATTTAAATACTGTTATTTGTTTTTCTGTCTCAGGAAGAAAATATACCAAACGGTTTTTTATAACCCATCCCTGGACAGTAGAATTAAAGGTAAGGTGACTTTTATTTTCTCTTTTACTGTTTGCATTTTCCTAATTTTACACAATAATAATCAGGGACATGGGGGTTTAATTTTTTAAAGCAATAGCCCTTTGTACTTTAAATTAGGCCCACCCACCCCAGCAACAGGAAGCCCCCGTTCACACATCAGCAATGTAGCCCCGTCATCCTCAATGCAGTCCCAAGAGGACAGCCGTGGGCCTTTCAGAATTGCTCACTTTGCTGTATAAACTGCTTTGGGGCATCAAGAATTTCTTCTCCTCTCCCAAATTCCCACACGTCAGGGGATCCAGAAGCCAAGTGAGGAGATGCTATCGTCTTTAGAGACCGAACATTTACTTTTGACCACTGCAGAATCCTATGTGGGCACAAGTGGATCCTCCAAAGATACGACACATTGAAGTGTCTACCCTGAGATACTGACAGGCCAGAAAATAGAACGTTTTGTCAGTGAAGTAGAGAATTAGGCAAGGCACACTGAATGATAATTAACTCCTAGAAATCTATATGAAAGGCTTCTTAAACTAGTTGATACTTAAAATCCCCCTAAGGATTAGATGCATTTTAAAAATCCATGAACAAAGTATAGGCCAAAATAATTACCTCTTCCTTTTCATGTAGCATAATATGCGCTTTGAGACTAGCCACTCTGGAGAATTTCTTGTTACACACAGGACAGGTAGGATCTTCCCCATTGTGGGTGCATTTATGAAGTGTCAGGTTGAATTCAACATTAAATGTTTGGGGGCACTGGTCACATCGATGTGGCTATTTGGAGAGAAAAGTCAAGAAGCCACTGAAATACAATGTTTCCACAATAAATGCCATTCAAATATTAACACGTACCATAATCTACAGACAATCTAAGGAACTTCTGAAGTCTCTTCTGGACCTGAAGTCAATAAATCTAAAATGGACACAGCAAAGCTCCTTACAGAATTTCTCAAAGGATTATAAGGACGACAACACATCAATGCAGAAAAAAGGCCTGAATAAAAAATGCTGCATATAAATGTATCAGGATATAGTCTCTATGAAAATAAACATGAGAAACTTCAACTCCCTGGGATAGATTTTTCCCTTCTTTTCTGACCAACTCCACTGCTCTAAACAGAATCACTTCAAGTAAAATCAGTAATCATAGAAACTTTTACTACATTTTAAGAGAGCTGCTTATCACAGTCTAAAATTTTCCCCAAATGAAAGGTATTCTGCCGTTTACTTGTAGAAAGATAAAGTAACCACTGGTATTTCTCTCTGAGTATCAAGACACTAGAGTCAGTATTTTCAGATTTTCAACTTAGGAGGGTAATACCAGTTGATAGCAGTACTAGTGATATCATGTGTCATCACATATATTATACATCAGATTCACACTGAAAACAAAGCCGGAGTTAGTCATGTCGTTCCCTAGAGAAGAGATCCCTGGCATTCTCCTGACCTCAAAAGGCTCACTGGCGTATGTTCTCCCAAACTAGGAAAAGTCAACTGATCATTTTTTAAAGGTAGTTTTAACTGCCACTTTCTAGCAGGCAGCTCACTCCATTAAGACACTAATACTCTTAACCTAGCCCCCAGGGGCCCTGCAAAAAAAGGGTTCCAGTCTCGAAGACAGTGCTGCTTCCTGCTGAAATGCAACCTAAAATCTCTGGAATACCATTTTAAAACGCAAGACCACCTCGGGATAACACTCCCTGCTGGAGAAAAACACGCCAAGATACACCAAATCTGCGTTCAGTCACACAGAAACCGAACCACAGAAAGTCCTGTTTTGAGATGATTTCTTTGTCCACAGATAAAGAACTTCAACACAGAGATTCACTAGACCAGCTCTCACTTGATCTCATTAACCATATAAGGGTTAGGAATACACTACAGCTAAGCACAAAACATCAAGGGATATATTCACGTAAGATAAAATGCCCCACAATTTAGCAATCTAAATTACAAGAAAAATTTGTATTTGACATGCTGATTTTTACAATACCTCCAGTTTCAACGCTCACATTTCTGACATCCCTCTTGAGAATACATACCTTGTCATTTCGCTCGTGATCCCTCATGTGGCGTTGAAACTGGGACTCTTTTGGAAAAGATAGCAGACAGATTTCACACTTATGGAAGTTTGGAACTTGATAGGCATAATTAGTGCTCTCCGCATTCAATGTTAAAACTCCATCTATAAAATTGCATAAGTATAGACAATAAATACCAGTTGTTATTCTCATCACATAAATAAAACTAAATTATTTGGTTATTGTTTAGAAACCAAATTATGGCAGAGATTTACGAGAGAATTTAGAAGAAATTAATATATCTTAAATTTTTCGAAAGGACATGATTTTAAGTCAGAAATGAGAAATGCTGGGAAGCCTGAGGCACAGGACAATGGGCTTATAAGCACCTGCTGGTAGAATTTTTAGAAACCTGAAACTAAACTCCGGAGTTGACATCCACCCAAAGACACATAAAAGCCATGACGTCTCTTAGCCTTCATGCTTAATATGGCTTCAATGTCACTAGAAATCAAAGAGGCATTTCGTCTCTAAGTCGCTTTGAGAATCCATCAGTAACCCACATTGTTCATCTTAAGTCGCTCAGCAAACAAAACTCAAGTAGAAGCATAAAAGCTAATTCACTAATTCAATCTACCTCTGAAAACTGCTGCAGAGCGAGATTAAGTCAGAGAGGAAAAACTTCTGTTCTCCCATATGGTTAGGGTTTAGGAAGACCTTTGTCCGCAGTGCTTTGGACAATCCTTAGGCTTCATGATGCGCTTCTATAGACCCACGTAGGTCAACAGCTATAAACATAAAAGTATTTTCAAATAAAAATATGTAATAATCACAAAAATTTGTCAAGAATCTCAGAAAATAAAGATGTCCTAAACCTCTACAATTCTTTAAAATAATAAATTCCAAGTCTTATAATTTAGGCACAAATATATAACACATATTAATGATACAAAGACTAGAAATACATCACATACAATTCTTTGTATCAAATTTGACTCAAAAATATTGAAATTTAGAAATCTATAAATAAAGTAGGGTTGATTTTAAGACTCAAGTAAGCTCCAGAGAGTCTTCTATTTCTCAAACATCCATGTGGTAAACAACGGCATCCCAAACTTTCAATAGACCTTTAAATCCCTCCTTTGAGAAAACAGCCTGCAGTCCAGCTTTGGCCAGAAGTCCCCCTCCCCTACATGGGCATCTGTGGTAAACAAGAAATGAGAAATTCTCCAGATGGGCGGTGGAGGAGGCCACGGAGGAGGTGGGAGTAGAGGGGCAGGCTGGTAACACCTTCAGGAATTCTTCCAGCAGATCCTTGAGTAAAGCAGATTCCAGTTTCAAGAAACACTAATATAATAGAAAAACTTCATCCAGAAACAGAATGGGCCTACCACAGGAAAGATACACATAACTTCTATTCTATTTATTCATTATATCCACATTCTACTCAAAGACCATGTATTCAAAATGTCTACTTTAATTAAATTAGTAACAAAATGTTTTATGCTCTCCAGGGCCAAATAAAATGATTGCTGGAACCATGTCAATTGATATATGATTCCCTTTGGGAAAGTTTATACTATGGAAAGAAACAGAAGTTGGGAACGTTCAAGTAAAGTTTCTGTTGAAAATTGTGTCTTAAAAACTCAGTAGCCAGTGTTTCCACCTAATGGCTAAATGCAGTCATGAGGGAGCTCCTCCCCACCCGAGAAAGCAAAATTAAAAGGCTATTTCAGGATGTAGAACGAAACAATGTTCACAGCCTCTAAGCTGAAACTGCTTGTTACCACAAAATGAGAAAGGATGTAATTAACTGCAACTGATAGATAAGACCCTAAGAGATAAGAAACTATCCATTTAAAACCCAAAATGACATTGTTTTGCTTATGAATTAAGACTTTTCCAGAAAAGATTTTTATCTTAAGAAGCAAGATTTCCCTCTTTCACAAAGCTCAAAACATAATAAAATCACATTTTCACTAAGTCCCTTCCCCCAGTGATAATACAATATTAATCTGGTTCATAGACAAAACAACGCTAATTCAAATTAAAGCATAACTGAAAGGGAAAAACATGCTTTAGTTGCACATTGAGCATAATTTTAAAATCCACAGCACTGGGGCGCCTGGGTGGCTCAGTCGGTAAGCGTCTGCCTTCGGCTCAGGGCATGGTCCCAGGGTCCTGGGACTGAGCCCCACATCGGGCTCCCTGCTCCGCGGGAAGCCTGCTTCTCCCTCTGCCGCTCCCCCTGCTTGTTTCTGCTCTCGCTAACTCTCTCTCTCTGTCAAATACATAAAATATTTTTAAAAAATAAATAAATAATAAAAATCAAATAAAATAAAATCCACAGCATGTCCCGACCTTCACTTTGCTTTGGGGGAACACATTTAGTAACCGCGCTGTTTCCGCACCGAGAAAAGCACAAGCCTTTCTCCCAGGGCCAGGCGGGCTCTCTCACCCACACTTTGCTTTCTGCCTGGGTAGTGTCCGAGGCCTTAGGATAACCCCTTCTGCCTCTCCCCTCTTCAAGCTCATTCAAACTTCTGGCCCCCAGAGTATGTGTTTTCCAGAAAGAAGTCCATGAAATTGATGTATCCTTAGGACATGCAGATACTCCACGTCCATGCCTTCGCCCATCGTTAGGGCGGGGTGAAAACTCTGGGCCACACAGGCCACCAGACTTTTTCAGGGGCCAGGGATCTAAGTAAGGTTCGGCCAAATGAATGGCAGCCTCTTAGTGTCAGCCTCCTGAGCACCGCTGCACTTTTTAGAAGCAGCTGGAGGACCTTCCCGTGAGATTTTGGCACCACACATTCCTCATGTCCCCCAAATCAGAACAGGTATTCTCTGTAGCCCATCCTCCCCCACACACACACACAACAGAAGCACGGATCTGCGTGCACCTCAAATCTACGAGTTCATCCAGTACGGGATTCTGCCCATCCCCTGCCCCCAGGAGGCAGGGGATGGATCACTGTGCGGTTCCAGAAGGCAGGGAGACTCAGTGGGCTGATTCCAGCCGGTTTAGGGCACCTTGCACACACGCATGCGCACGACCACATTCTCTTCAACTGCTCACCCTTCCTGTTACCAAAAACTCAAATTCACTGTCAAATGTAAACACAAACTGATTGCAAAGATCAGAAACTGTTTGAGCAGCTTTGTTTTCCCTGAAAAAAGCAGCTTTGTTTTCCTTGGAAAAATGTGAAGACTAGTCTCAAAATCAATTTAACTATTTACATAGAGATTCTCAATAGTATAGAGATTCTCAATAGTATATAATAACTATTTATCAACCAGCCACCCACATAATAAAGTCTACCTCAGTGTTGTACAGATTAAATAAAATAATGCTTCCTGACACTACTGAGACAGAGCCTATCAATGATTTAGGAACACGGCCACCTCTTTAATGCTCATCCTTGCCACCCACCCGATGCCCTCGCCGGCCCTCCATAACCATACTCTGCCACAGCTACATTCAGGCCTGGTCCATAAGGGGGACTGGACAAGCCGACAAACTGCTCTTCTCCCAAGACCGGGCACAGCAAATCAGCCCAGTCAGCTAAATCTCAATGGCAAAGGTCTGTCCTTATCTCTGATCTAAAGAGCTAAGATGATTTTTTTTTTTTTAATTTTAAGTGATCTCTACACCCAATGTGGGGCTCGAACTCACAAACCCAAGATTAAGAGTCGCCTGCTCCACTGACTGAACTAGCCAGGTGCCCTGCTAAGTTGATCTCTTACACAAATTGCCTCTCTATGATATGATGGTTCAACAAAACCTACTGCATTTATAGCATCCCACTGATTTAACTCCAGTTTGCATCTCCTGACTTAAATCCTTAAGCACTATGCATTGAAGATCTCAGCTATCCATAAATCCTGCTGAGGCATTTTTAATATTAAAATGAGATCCACCAGATTCATTTTCTAAACTAATTGAGCTAACCCCCAAACTTTGTTATTTTTGTTTTGAATAAAAACTTTCCGAAAAGTAGTTGACATCTCTACTGCTCTCAACAGGCCCGTCTTCCAACATTTTTTTAAACATTTTATTTATTTATTTGAGAGGAGAGAGTGAGCAGAGGGAGAGGGAGCAGCAGAGCCCCGCGGAGCAGGGAGCCTCACGTGGAGCTGGATCCCAGGACCCTGGAATCATGGCCCGAGCTGAAGGCAGACGCCTAACGGGCTGAACCCCCCAGGCGGCCCCGTCTTCCAACATCTTGCCCCCGAGAGCCCAGCTCTCTAACCATGGAGGCATCTTCTCTGCTCTTCACTCTGACATTAGGATGCTTTCCGAGGTCACCAAACAGGCCTTGGAGAAGTCTGACAGCTGTCGCCCCCATTTCAGGTAGGGTCCCACTTCCAGCTACCATGCTTTCTCCTCTCTACTCTCGTGTGTGTACGTGTGTGTGTTATTTTTACTGTTTTCTAGTTTCTTCTTTTCTCCTTTCTCCTGTTTTCTCCTGTTCCTCTCACACTGGTCAGCATTCAGGTCTGAGCACGGCTGGACTTTTTCAGATAAAACTCTGCGGTGCTTGGGCCCGTGAGCCCTTTCTACTTGGTCACGGTACCTCCAAAGGCTTGCACCCTGGCACATCCTGAGTGCCTAGCAAATATTTGCTAAATAGAGATAAGAAGAAAGCTAATGACTCTTTTGGTCTCTACCCAGTTGTCCAAAGTGCCTAAGACCAGCATATCTAATCTCCACTTGTAGCCTGACTCACATCCTTCACCTCAAAATTACCTTAGTATTCTTCCAGCTTGTTATGTATCCTCTGACTATTCTTATTTTGTACATTTCCTTAGCCATTTGGTTGTTCCTAGGAGCTAGGTGAAATGCATCTACATTATTTTCTCCATAGAATCTGTCAGAAAAGAAAGTGCTTGAGTTCACAGCACCAGCCATAAGCACCTGCTTCCTTCTAAGAAGGAACAGGGGCACCTGGGTGGCTCAGTCGGTTAAGCATCTGCCTTCGGCTCAGGTCATGATCCCGGGATCCTGGGATCGACCCCCGCATGGGGCTCCCTGCTCAGCGGGGAGTCTACTTCTCTCTCTCTCCCTCTGCATGCCTCTCTGCCTACTTATGCTTGCATGCTCTCTGTCAAATAAATAAATAAAATCTTTAAAAAAAAAAAAAAAGGAATAAGCATCTGTCAACTCAAAAGTGCCTGCACCAAGAGAGGTGGGTATTACCAGGGAAGACTCTGGCACTTTTTGAATTTCACCCATTATTTATTCAATGTATTTGCTATTAGGTAAATATTCATTTGGAAATGAAATGTACTCATATAAAAAAATAATCCTCAAAATGTAGTCAATGAAAAAAAACTGTATGTTCTAGGTGCTATCGCTCCTTTAAAAAGGGGAGGGTGGGGCAGATACACCACATATTTGCTTGTATGTGCATAAAATAGCCCTGTAAAACTACAGAAAAAATAATAGCATTGGTTACCTGTAAAAAGGTAACTATCTGACTGGGGAATAGGGCTGAGAAAAGGACTTTCGTTTTTTTTAAATTCTGAAGCATTATAATGTATTACCTGTTCAAAAGCGGTTACATTAAAAAGTAAGAAATAAAATTTACTTGGGGGGAAAAGGTGAGTTATACACTCCACCTCCTGTATAGCTAAGGAACCTAAGACCCCAGAAAAACAAGCCACTTGGTCAAAATCACACAGTTAGCCAGGCAGAACTGGAAGTTAATTTTCAACTCATAGTTCAAGGCTCTCTCCTAATTATTCAGGCTTCCATGCCTCTCAAGGTCATGATTTGTGAGATGAA